TGGATTTAAAACCGATGCAGGTTGGATTAGAGGGGCAGACTCCGAGAGCAAAGGTGACTTATAAAGAACATTAGTAGCTCAGGCAGAGAGCACTGGGGTTAACCATGAGGGCACCAGAAGGGAAAAAGGAATAAGGATTCTAGAGCATGAACCAAAGAAGCCGCAGAACGCTGATGAGGATGGAGGCTTGGGTAGTGGCCCACTGTTGCTTAGGAAAAGTTTGTGCCAGGCTATAATCCCAGCGCTCTGGAGGCACAGGCAAGTGTGTCTTTATGAGTTCAAGGCCAGCTTGGTCTACATAGTGAATTCTAGGTCAACCAAGGCTACATAGAGAGAACTTGTCTCAATAAAAGGAGTTGGGGGGGGGGGACGGGACAACGACCTGGGAATGGTCACCCCCGTCCAGCCCTGAAATTAGTAAACCATGTCCACCGCTTCCTCACAAATGCACAAACAAGCCAGATTCTGAGCTGGAATATTCGATTGAAATGCAGCGGTTTTGTCAGGGGTGGGAGAGAGGAGGTGATGGTAGGGTCATGAAGAAAAGAAAGGTAAAGGACCCTGCCCCTTCCCCTCCACACCTACACCAGGCTCCCTAGAGAGGAGGCGAGGGAGGACATGAGAGCAAAGTGTTTTCCTAAATATTCGGTATTCATGAGTATAAGCGGAAAGGAAGCCTTGGGACTATGATCTAGATGGGTAGCTAGCTGGGAGCCCAAGGCACGAAGCACAGCTGTATCCCGTTAGCTCTGGGCAACCACAAGCACTTGGACCAGACTAAAGGGTGTTTACAAAGAAATGAGGCATGTGTGTTCTTCTTGCACAAGCACGTGTACCGCCCCATACACACACACACACACACACACACACACACACACACACACACACACACACACACACACAACTTCTTTCTATTTTTCATCTCTTAAGCTGTAGCATGGAGGAACACAGCTTCCTCTTTTTGGTCCATTCTAGGTCTTGCTGCACTGGAATAAAGTGAGCTGTTGAACTAACCTTGCAGCTGCAGGATCCTAAGTTCTGCTGTCTCCTGTAGCTGGGAGAGGAAAGGATGCTCTTTTTCCTAAACAGCGGGCATCAGAGACTAAGCTTAGGCATTTCCAGCACAACAGCAGACAGGTGCTTTCTCAAAAGGAGGCAACAGAGCCCCCTTGAAGCTGACTTGTGTGTTTATGGCTGAGTGTGAACCTCCCCAGCTTTTGCCTGGGGTTCTGGTGAGTTCTCCCCCGACAGGTCCTCTGCCTGCTCTCTACTGGTCGGTCCCCTGTGGTGCTTGTCTGAGAGTGACGCACCCCCCCCCATAGCCCCTCAGAGCAGGTGACTCACCTCTGCTGGGCTGCTGAGAGCGGGTGAGCAGGGGTGAGTGAAGCTTCCTGCAGCACTCTCTTGACTTGCAGGACCCTCCTTGCTGGAGCCAAAAGCCGCTGCATCTCTAGGGTATCAGCTGAAAGCCAGCAGCAGTCCACGGGGCCCTGGGAGAGATGCCCAGCGGTTGTGGGTCGGGCTTTATAAGTCTCTAGGGCTCCAGCCTCAGGAAGCCCCGCCTCAGCTTATCGAGGCCTCTGCCTGCTTCGGAAAAACTGGGCCAAAGGTCTCAGAACTCGAGCAAGCCAAAGAAAAACATCATCTCCAACATGTACGTAGCTGCCCTGTTCCTGGCTGCTATCTGGCTGCCTGGCTGGCTGGCTGACTCCGAGACATCCTTCGTCAGCCTCATATTTGCCCAGCCATGGAAGTGGGGAAGCTTTTGTGCTCCTAACACATCCAACAGTCTCCCCACCTGGTCTCCCCGGCCCCCGACTCTCCTGCTGAGGGACTCACCACTGGTTCCTACCCCCCTCTGTGCTGTGGGATGTTGTTATTCTTTTAATACCAGCCCTTCCAGCGGCCGAGAGCAGGTGTTGACTCACATGTGAGGGGTCTGTGGAGTCGGCTTGCTTCCTCTTATCTTTGTGGCCCACCAAAATGCTCAACACAGCTCTGCCCGGCTTCCAAGAGAGACGCAGCTGGTGCTGCTGCTGGAGAGCTGAGACTGTCTTGAAGATCGGGTTCTCTAAAAAGGAGAGGTGTAAGCAGGAGCCTGGAGACAGCCAGAGAGGAATAACTTCTCCTCAGAAATCTGTCTACTGAGTTGCAGCGTGGGGTCCCACTGTGACCTTCAACCTGGGTACTCTGCCCGTGCAAGCAGATCCACTCCCGTGGGCGCGCACCTGTGGCTGCCAGGGGCTGACGTCAATGTCTTCCTCCACCGCTCTCAGCCTCAGTTTTTTGTGTGTGTCTTAGAGATGGAGTGTGTCTCTCTCTGAGCCTGCAGGTTGCCTAATGGGCTAGACTGGCCGGCCCAAGAGCCACTGGGGTCTGTCTGCCTGTCTCTGCCCCTCCAGAACTGTGGTTACACCTTGTGCTTTTCTGGAGGTGTGGGGTTCCAAACCCGGGTCCCCACACTTTCACTTTACCCACTGAGCCACCTCCCCAGCTCCGCTGCCACTTCTTAAAACCAAAGTCCCTGCCATCCGATGTTCTAGGTGAGCCTCTGCCTCACCCTTCTCATGGCACCAGGCTCCCAGCTCTCACAATGATCTTGTGTTCACTGAGCAGCTGATGTACTTAACCCCGACGTCTAATGCAACTCTGGGAAGGAGTCACAAGAACTAGGGTGGCTCTTGGTTCGTCAATTTCCCTGAAGCCAGAAGCTCTAGATAGCTCCCAAATCCGGGCCTCCTGGGTCTCCTATCACCTTTATGTTCTTGTCTCCATACTGTTGAATCCAGCTAGACTGCTGCTCAGGCCACGGCAACCTGCAGCAGCCTCTTTGTGGCAAGAGCCTGTCTATATGAATCTCTAGGCCCTTAGCACGCTCTCCCTGGGGTCTAGATTGTAGGAGATTTTGACGAGGGCTGTTCTGACTTCCACAAAGAAGTTTCGAGAACTCAGGTGGCCAGACTCAAGGACGTCAGTGGCAGCATACCCCCCCCCCACACACACACACCATAATACCTGCACCTCAACTAGATGTGCTCCTCTTCCTTACTTCCTCTGAAGAATCCTCAGAGTCAAACATTCCTCCTCCCTCCCCGACATTCATCTTGGCTTATGTCTATTCTAACTCGGTCTCCACCTAGACTCAAGCTCTTCCATGAGCCTTCTGCAAAGTTCTGTCATCAAGAGACTTCTCTATTGCCAGCTCTTCTCTGAAATGGCCTTGTTTGTTGTCTGCAAACTGCGAATTCCAGTGGATGAGTCAGCTGGCATTCCCGTGGCCCTTTCAAATGGTGGTTTTGACCTTTTCCTTCCCCACGCTCCTCTGGCCACCCACACCCAGGGCTCTTAAGTACTTGGAACAAGGCATATATCCTCTTGGTTCTTCACTGATACCTCGAGTGTTGAGTATTTACAGTCTCCATCCTTTCAAAGCCTCCTACTGTCAAGCCAAATGTGGTGGTGCATTTCAGTCACCTCAGCCCTCAGGGTGAAGGCAGGAGGATCAGGAGTCCATGATTACCCTGAGGAAAGTACCCAGTCCAGACTACTTGAGACCCTGACTCAAAACAGACCCAAACATGTTGTCTTAAAGTCCAGGCCATCAGTCTGGGCCACCCAATGCCCCCCATTTCTTTCAGTCCTGTGAAAGTCTTGATCTGCTTCCCCTCAAATGTATCCAAACATGTGGGCCAGCGCTTCCTCTCTACACTCAGATCCTTCAACATTTTTAGGGACATCAACCTTCACCCTGGCTTCTTATGGAAGCTTTATTCAGGTTCTTGCCTTCCTCATGGTTTCAGCCTCCCAGCTCAGTCATAATCTTGACCTTGTTCAGACCCCTGTAACTTGGAACTAACAACAGTACCAACCTCAGATACTTATTAAATTGAACTGAGATAACCCTCACAAATGCTTGTCACAAGAAGCCAGCAAACAGACTACTTTGGACATGCTTAAAAGAGGGAGGGAAATAAAGCTGATTAATCTGTTAATTAATGCTTGTTGAGGCAGGACAAAAAGACACGGAGAATTATGGGAACATGGGAAGGGAAGAGCCCCTCGGCCTTGAGTCTGGTTAAAGCCTGTTCTAGCTGAGCATCAAGATTCCAACACATCACCATTTGCTGTGAAGGCTGCCTACAAGAAGACACCATCCCCCTTCCTTCTAGACATAATTATGTCAAGAGAAGGGCCTTGTTCCTTTTCCAAGACATTGTGTGGGAATCTCCAACAAGACTGTTATAAACTCTGTTGTGCAGTGAAGATGCCTTCCTGCATTCCTTAGTCCTAGAGAGTCGCCTGCTCAATTGAAGTCCTGTCAGCTGTCTCTCGGACCTGTGATCTCATTTTGTTTCCTTGGCAACCTCACCAAACTGGACTATATGGCTATTTGAAAGATGCGATGCAACGCTCTCTTAGAGAACCCCGTACCCATGACCCCTGCTGTGTTTCAACTTCCCCCTAAACATCTTCTTTCCCTTGACTCTTCTGCTTAAAATCCATGTCAAAAAAACCTTCCTCTTTTTCTATGTGTGTATATGTGTGTGTAGGGTCCATGTGGAGGCCACAGGTCCAAGTAGGGCCCTTTCTCTCTCCCATCGCTCTATCTTATATTTTCTCACTGGAGTTGGAGCTTGCTGATTCAGCTTCACAGAGTAGCTAGCAAGCCTCAGGGATGCTCCTGCCTCCTCATCCTCAGCACTGGGATTACAGGCACATCACCACACCCAGCTATTTACGTGGGTGCCGGGATCGGAGCTCCGGTCTGTACTTTACCGACTGAGTCCATCTCCCCAACCACCTACCCCAGCTGTCTTTTAATAAAACCCCAATTCTGCCTCATACTTACTTGCCCAGAAAGTCCTTCTTGTGTTGAAGCCAATGTTTGCCTGAGTCTAGGTAGGTCCCTGAAAAAACTCTTTAGGTTGCTGAAGGCAACAATCTGTCTTTATTGCAGGAACGCTTACGAGAGTTCTTTATTTATTATATTCACAGGGATGAGAACTCCAGGCTAGAATCTGTCCACACAGGCTGGTTGATGATGGAAACTTCAGTGATGTGGAGGGGTTGAATGTTGCGGTGCCAGAGCCACATAACAGTTTATCCAGGGTGATCTCTAGCACCCTAAAAAGCCATTCTTTGTCCCGCTGTGTGTCAGATTTAACACCCTGCTACCAGCCGGACCTAACATCTGACAGGTGAGAAGCCTTTGGAATGTACTAACTTAGCAAAGGGTTGAGTGTTGAAAGACAGCATCCAAGGCCAAGAGCAGAGCTTCCCCATCCTACTGTAACTTGTCTCTCTGATGTTTCTACCAATGTATTTTAAAAATACCTTGACTTATAACTTTCTTTGTTCTGTTACCGTAAAACTCTGTGAAACTGCTTCCATGTTGGACACTATATTTGGGGAGACCTAAATATGTGTCCTCAGGTCAGGGTCATTCAAATTTTGTTCCAGAACAAAATATGTCTTTTATTCCTTTGAAAGGAGAGCTGTTTCGTTTGACAACACAAAGTCTATTAGATTGGATGTTTCTATTCAGCTCCATCCATCTTAGTGACATCTGGGGTATGTGAGTGTGGAGGCCCACAAAGGTTTCCTAGTGAGATCTGAGCCTGCTTTACCCAGCAGAGCTGCATTAGAGGATTGCTTGACCATATGCATGGTTTCTAGGTGATTGGAAGAGTCTACACTTGACTGAGCTAGGGGGAGGTCTTTTGCTCCACCCCTTGGCATTCCTATAAATAGCCCTTTAGAAGAGACAGAAGGGGCCAGTGGATTAGGACCCAGGCCCTCCCGAGGCTATCCTGTGTTTCTATCTGTTTCTCTCCCCTCTATCCTATCTAAATCTCTTATCCCTCACTCCTCAAGAGTACCCTGGGGTAAAATGTGGGAGCCGGTCTTTTAGCTGGTTTCCCACATGTGAGGACTGCCCGGATTCCTCCAAATGTAGAGTCAGAGTGTGAGAAGCAGCCAGAGGATGGACGTGGACCTGTCTGGCTTGGTAGTGCCATGAGAAGGAGGGAGAATGGCCTTGCCGTTTGTCCCCCGCAGTCTGGGACACTGAAGGCTCAGGACCTGCCATTGGATTTGATGATGAGGAAGTCACTGGTGACCTTGATAGGAGAGATTTCAATGGCAATGGAGCACTGGGGACCAAAGAGATTGTAACACAATGAATTTGCTACAGAGAAGGTAAAGAGAAGAACAGAGGTTTGTAGAGAGAGCTTTAGGAGATGGAGCTGTACAGGAACAGTATGACAAAAACAACCAGTAGGGAAGGAAACTGGGCACGAGGAAGAGGGCAGCGCTGTGGCACGGCCCTCGTGTGGAAAGAGGCAACACAATCACCGCACGAGTGGTGACTGGCCATGAGCCCAAAGCAGGCCCAGTTCCTCTCTAGTGACAAGAGGGTGGGGCAGGGGCGGAGGGGGAAGGGCGGCCGCCCTTTTGGATAGTTACTGTGTTCTCGGGAAACAAGAGTCCAAGTGTTCAGCTGAGAATGAGGATGTGAGAACTTAAACATTGTCAGATCTCAGACCTCTCTCTCTCTCTCTCTCTCTCTCTCTCTCTCTCTCTCTCTCTCTCTCTCTCTCTCTCTCCTCCTATGCAGCACAGCTCTACCTCCTGAATACATAACAGGAATTTGTAAGCAAACGTTCTTCCTTATTCCTCCCCTTCAGCAAACAGCTCTAATGCCTATCTGGAACTGGGTTTGAGCTGTGGCCAGGCTCCCCACCTCCAAGGGAAACATGAAAGGAAGGACTTTCTGGTGTTCAGAGCTCTCTCTCGCTCTCTCTCTCTCTCTCTCTCTCTCTCTCTCTCTCTCTCTCTCTCTCTCTCTCTCTTCCTGTCTTTGTCTTTCTCCCCCTCCCTCCCTCCTCCCCTCTCTCCCTCTCCCTGTTCCTCTCCTCCCCTTTATTCCTTTCCTTCTTGATGCTGGAGAGATGCTCAGTGCTCAAGAGAATGTATTGCTCTTACAGAGGACCCAGGTTTAGCTCTCCGCACCAACATGGTGGCTCACAGCCACCCATAATTCCAGTTCCAGGGGATTCTGATGTCCTCTTCGGACCACTGTGGGCACAAAGAAGTCATCTGGTGTGCATACACACATACAGGTACAACACTCTAACACAAGATAATTTTTTTAAATCATAAAAGGAAAAGAAATTGAATAAAACTATTATCACATTGGAATACAACTTTTGCAGCCACCTACATGTGCATTCCTGGACCCTAGTCACTCACATTTAGCTCTAGAATAGAGGTGACAGTGTTTTGTTTGTTTTGCATTGACAAATAAATGAAATTAAGATTTTGGAGGTGATACAGACACTTCCTGTGATGAGCTGTGAATGCAGGAATCCAGCTCTCCACATAACAGAAATGTATGTAGCTATTGCCTCTGAACTAAAACATTTCCTCCTGGAAGGACATGGGAGGATTGAAGCCTCAGGAAGCTGATGAAACTCACAAGGCTCAGAAAGCTCAGAAGTTTACAAGACTCATAAGACTTTAAGAGTGGGAGAAACCTGCTGCAAAGAGGAAGTGCCTTTGCACATTATAGAGTGAGTACCAGGTGATGTCAGTGAAATTCAGGTCCACTGTTGGGGTTCTTAGTCTTATCAATAAAATAATTTAAGAACAGACTCAAATGAAAGCTTGAGGACTGTACTAGGTAGTTTTATGTCAACTTGATACAAGCTGGAATCATTTTGGATGAGGGAACCTCAACTGAGAAAAGGCTCCCACTAGACTGGCCTGTAGGCAAGCCTGTGGTACATGTTCTTGCATGATGATTGATATGGAAGGGCCCACCTCACTGTGGACAGTGCCATGCCCAGCCAGGTGGTCCAGACTGCGGTAAGAAAACAGACTGAGTAAGCTATAAAGAGCAAGCCAATACACAGCATTTCTCCGTGACTTCTACTCCAGTTCCTGCTTCCGGGTTCCTCCCTGAGTTCCTGCCATGACTTCTCAAAACGACGGACTGTAATCTTCAAGATGACATAAACCCTTTTGTCCACTAGTTGCTTCTGCTCATGGTGTTTCAGCACAGCCATCGAAACCCTAACACAAGATAAATGATGGATTCAAGTGAAAAGCACACAGCATAGGCAAGCTGTAAATCTCAGCAGCTACCCATAGGAGGAGAATGGGGAGAGAAGGAGAAGGGGCATGCCACCTGAGCTAAGGCCACATGGAGGTCACCCACATGGTTTCAAGGGGTGTTAAAGAAAGAGTGGCACCTGAGGTATGAGGGAAAACATGCTTAGAGAAAAGATAGAAAGAAAAGGAGAAGCTTCATTTTCCTGAGTAATTCAGAAAAGCAGGTGATGTTACAAAAGAGTATGGCTGTACTCTGTTAGCATCTCCACTACAGGGTAGGAGTTCTGGGGAGGAAGAGTACAGCATCTCATTAAAGGGGATAATTATTCCACCTATCTCTTCAACATAGTTTGAGGTGGACCCATTTTCTAGGGGTGGACCCACTTTCCTAGGGGTGGTCCCCTTCCTGAGAGGTGCTTCCTTGGCCAGGATCAACTCACCCAGGCCAGAGAGGCTGTTCTCTTGACCAAAGGGTTTTCCCTTAATGGGCCTTTATTGCTACTCAAGCATAGGAATGGAGCTTCGGTTATCATCACCCCCGCTGGAGTGGGCCTTTCAGTGAGGCAGCTGTCTCTGAGTTACTCCTGTGCCTGCAGATAACGCCAATAAACCTATTGGTTCATCAAGCTAGACTTGAGTGGAATTCCTTTGATTTGTCAGTGGTGTCCTGTCGGGGGTGACCACAATTCCTCACATCACGTTCTATGAGACCTATGCATCAATTTCAGGTGATTCCACCTATTAGATGGGTCCTTTGAAATTATTAAAATGTACAGAAGTGTGTTAAGAAAAGTAAAAATGGGGGAAAATCACAGCAAGACTCCACCAAATGGTAATTTTCTACAATGTAAGAAACCTTGTTGAATCAAGTGGTTGTACTCAAGTACAATCAAGTAACTGGTTTGTCTACCGATTGCCCTGACTGTTGAAAGGGACTGGATCCCAATGACCTAAAAAGACTCCACCTTCTCAATACTGAATGAACCCACTTTTTTGGTGTGTGGGAGTGTGGGATGTGCATGTGTGGTATGCGTGTGGTATATATGCATGTGTGTGTGTGTGTGCCTGTGGGTACACATGGGGAAGCCAGAGGGAGATGGTGAGTGTCTTTCTCTGTCACTCCCCCACAGTATTCCCTGGAGACAGAGTCTCTCATTGATCCTGGATCTAAGCTGGCAGCCAGTGAGCTCCAGCCACCCTCCTAACCTCTGCTCTCCAACAGTGCTGGGTTATAGGTATACATTTTTACAAGGGTGCTGGGGATTTGAACTCGGGTCCTCATGCTTGTACAGGAAGAGCTCTGACCCAGAGAGCCATCTCCTCACTCTTGAGCCCACATTTCATGCTTATATTTTTATTTATATTATAAATATTTATATTTATATATTTATATATATATTATATAATATATTATATATTCATATATCTATTATATAATATACATTTATATAATATAATAATATTTTATATAAATATTTGTTTATATTTATATATTTATAAATATTTATATTTATTTATATTATAAATATTATATTTTATTTATAGTAGTAATGCTAACTATTCAAATCAATGATTTCCCTGGGTGTTCCCAGAGGCACACAATCTTGACTACCCTGCACTCTCCCTGTCCCATTCCCTCTCCTCCACTCCCTGTGTGCTCCCTCTTCTACATCAGGCCTTTCGAAAGACTCTGTTAATACTTCTTAAAGAAGACCAGGCGTTTTCACTTTTCTTTGGGATTTGGATCCTTCAGAGTTTGCAAAGAGCAGAACCCATGGAGGAACTCTGTTAAGTGTTAAACAAACATTAAAAGGGAAATTGATTATCGGAGATGAAGTCTTGCACAAACAGTGTTTGTGTTTCAGGCAATTCTGCCACCTGGGTTGGTTCATGAGCAAGTTATAAATAAGAACCTCAGGGCTCTCAACGATCCCCTTTAGCCCATGTGAGGCCAGCGTTTCTTCTTCAGCAGAAAGCCACGATCCTTATAAACACCATGAAACACATTTACCCAGAGGCCAGGACTGGGGAATCAAAGCAATGTTCTCCCATGCAGGCGGTACTTTCCACTGAACCAAAGGGCAAA